ACTGAGACCTTTCAATTAGACTGGGAAATAATTTATTCCTTTACTTTTCAAAATAACGCTGAACAAAGTTAAGATAATTTTAATACCAAATACCTCATAGAATCTGTTATACTAACGCTAAGTTCAAATTTGGTTGCGTATCGGATCTATAAAAGATCTACGGCCCCAAAATACATAAGGGCAGAACCATGCAAGAATTACTGATAGTATATCGGATCTATAAAAGATCTACGGCCCCAAAATACAAACATCCGATATGCTGTAATTCTTGCATGGTTATGTAGATCCGATATGCTGTAATTCTTGCATGGGTCTGTCCATGTTTTGGCCAACCCTTTATTTTCTTTGCGAGACATCAACTTGACACTTGGACTCTTGCCCCCAGAAGACACGTGGTATGGCGTGATTCTGTGGGTGTTGAGGGGTCTAGGTCAGGGCTTAGATCAGAGTGCGCGGATATTTTTCATCAGATTTTACTCTGGTTGTTACACCATACTGACGAGCCCCAAAAAGGGCGAAACAGCTGTCTATGGCTACAATCCCGCTCTGTTTTTAGTTCTGTCGGTTTCGTGTTGATGTCTTGCAAAATTCATTTTCACGTGGTACGATCAGCATTGCAGTATTCTGCTTGCAAGATTTAATATGTCTACCATTCTTAAGTTGCAGTCTTCCTAACTCGTGTACTCCATGTAGCTGACCTCTTTTTGTTTTGTGGTATGATTCTTGCTTCATTCCTCGCCCTAATTTCCTTGTCATTTACAGTATTGTTTTTTTCTTTATGTTATTATGTTATGTTTTTTTTTTAAGTTTTGCCCCCAAAAAACCTGGCAACGGGTTTAAAACAAAAAATGCCAAATTTTGCTTGGAATGCTAAATTTAGATAAACGCTTAAAAATATGCTCTGTTTGCTAAATTATGTCAAAAATTCTGTTAGCACAATCTACAAAAGCGTAAATAATTAAAACAATAATAATAGTAATTGTTTTGATGATAGCTGTATTATTGACGTATTATCATAGCAACTGGATACAGCGACGTGCGACTGAGCAGAAAGGGGCGTAGTCTATTAACAAATTTGTCAATCACTCATTGTCAGCAACGAGAGGCGGAGCTCCCTTGCTCATACGCATACTCATGTATATATATGCGCAGGAAAAGTGGCTATAAACCAGAGGTTTCACTTGCAGAAACTTGCTGTTTGCGACGTCTGTAAAGATTTACCTAAACTGTATCTGGGAAGAGGTAGGTGAGCTTTAGTGAAGTTATTGAAGAAGTACTTGAATTAATTTGTCGTATTCTTGACCACCGCTACTCATTGATAAAAGTGCTCAGTACTGGAAACAGCAAAATTGAAGTATTCCGTAAATGGCTTTGAGCTAAAGTGTTGACAGCATCAACTCAAAGAAAGCCAACAAAGGAATCAAATTTAAGCACAAACCAGTTGTGAGTCTTGAAGTTTTAAACACTTTTCGATCTGAACTGTGAGCGAAATACCACCCAGCCTCTCTTTTAGCGAAATTACCTGAATTTTCATGTAGAGTCTTCTAGTGACCCTGTTGGAGTCAAATTCCTCCACTTGCTGGATACATTCAATCCTGAACAACACATAAAGAGGCGACTCATCACAGTGGTCACAGCCTCGACCTCGTGATCACTAGATCTGACGACCATGATCTTATTTCACATGTATCCGTGACTGATCCAGCAATCTCCGATCACTATGCTGTGCTCTGTATGATATCCATAACAAAACCATGTTATCCCCGAAGAGAAATTAATTGCAGGAAATTGAAGTCCATCGACATGGAGGGATTTGTTAAGGGCATTAGCAATTCATCTCTCACAGATGCTAAGTACGCTGAGAACGTTACTGATCTAACATCCATGTATGATGGGACCCTCTTGTCAATACTTGATCAGCATGCATCTCTTTGTTGCCTCTATACTCTTCCTATAGACGTAGTAGGGAGAAGTTTCTAGAGTGTCAACTAAATTCATCTTGTGTGATCAATCCCTTAAGTTATTCTTGTGACCAAACTGTTTTGTGAAGCATAGACATTGCAAGGAGAAAATTGATGTTGATCACTGTTAGGGCTTAAAGAGTTAAAAAGCGTATTGTCACCCATGAAACAGCTGTGCATGGTACACAGAGAAGATTAAGGCTGAAAAAAAGAAAAGGAGAAGACCTGAACGCGAATGGCGCAAGATCAGATCCACTATAAGCAGACAACTTTACGTAAACTAATGCTATCTGGTCAATAACCTTATTTATGAGTCCAAGACGATCTTCTACTCCTCGGTCATAGAAGAAAACAAGTCAAATCAAACCATCCTGTTATTACTCTTGACAAAATGTTAAACCCCTGTCACCTAAAAAATTACGTTAGAAGGACAATGCTGTTGACCACGCAAATAAATTTGCGGACTTCTTTGTGCACCAGGTAGAAACTGTCAGAAACAGCCTTAACTCCCCAGGCTTAAACCCTAACGATGAGAAAATTGTCTGCCCAGCTGCAAATGAGCTAGCTATCGACTCTTTTAAGTAATACCTATGCTAAATCTTTCATATTAGATCCCATACCAGGTTAATATCATGAAAGGCTGTATTAACACCCTTCTCCCTACCATTACTAGGATAGTGAATTGGTCATTTAATGAGGCCTGCATTCCTGAAATCCTTAAACAGTTAGCTGTCGAACCAAGAATCATGAAACCTATGCTTGATAATGACCTGCTATCGAGCTATAGACCTATCTCTAACCTAAGATTCATCTCTAAGGCTATTGAGAAGGTTGCTGCTGATCGACTGAATTGCAATCTTATAAATAACGACCCTCATGAGCTCCTACAGTCAGCGTACAAACCAGGCCATAGCACTGAGAATAGAAGTCAGGTTGTACGTGTTGAGAGTGAGTCCTCGACCTGTTCGTATCTTCCTCATTATGGGGTTCCCCAAGGATCCGTACTTGGTCCTCTCCTATATTAACTATATACACTGCACCACTGAATGATGTCCTCAAGCGTCATCATATGTCGTATCATTTTAATGCCGATGAGAGCCAGACATATATATGTCCTTTCAGTCATCATATGTCCTGATGAACCTGAATACCCCAAATCTAAGGTGGAAACGTGCATTCTTGATATCAGTAGTTGGAGGATAGCCAATATATTTAAACTAAATAGTTAAAAAACTGAGCTCTTTCTACTGAAAGCTCGTCATCGTTCTCTTCCGCAGTTAAGCTTAATTCATGATGCAGGAACTGAATTAATTGTAGCTGCTGACTCGGCAAAAAACAGCGGCGTTTGGTTTGATAACATCCTGTCAATGAACAAGCATGTGAAATTTCTTTGTAAAACAGCTTTCAACCATCTACGTAATCTGACCACCATTAGAAGGTTCCTATCGCACAAGCACTGTGAAGTCCTTATATATGCATGCCTTTGTAACTTCTCGAATTGATTACTGTTACTCGCTTTTATCTGGTCTTCCTCAGCATTTGTTGCAAAAATTCCAACATGTTCAAAATGCGTCTCCTCACATACTCAAAGAAATACGACAATATTTCCCCTATCTTGAAAGAACTACATTGGTTGATGACCGTCAAGTCAAGGATTGAGTTCAAAATGTTAATTTTGACTTTTAAAGCCTATCACGAAATTGGACCTAAAAATTTAACAGACTCTTTAATTAAATATACGCCTAGCAGAACACTCCCCTCCACCAACAAGGGATTGCTAGTAGTCCCTAAGTATAATCTTGAGTCCTATGGAAAGCGCCCTTTTTCAGTAATTGCCCACTCACTCTGGAACAATTTATACCAGACCAAATAAAAACTACAGCATGCTTGAGTTTTTTTTACGAATAGAGTTAAGACCTTTCTATTCAGCCGTTCCTTTTGGATTGTTTTTTTTTGTTTTTATAATGTAGTTCTATTTATTTTAGTATTTTTTTAGATTTTTCTCACAAGTAGTAACCTTGTTAAGCGTCATTGGTTAGTAGAAATGGCGCTATATAATGGCGCTATATATTATTACTATTAAATTGTTGACTGTAGCTCAAATTTCCAATAACAAAAGCTATCTTAATAAATGTAATCAGTTAGATCCGAACTTCTCAGAGCCAACAGCAAAAACTTAGAGGGAAATCTCTATTCCTCATAAGCTTTGCTTGTCGGAGATTTCCCCGCCACAGTCACTTCTTTCAAGTTGTATGCTCATTTTAAATTTAATATTAATTAACTATTTATTATCTTTTCTATTCTGACTTATTGTAATTTATTCTGTGTGGCAAAATAATGAAAATAAAATAAAAATAAAATAAAACAAGCTTTATTTGCAGGAACAAACAAGTACATACAGTATTGCAAATTAAAGCTATTTATAACTATAGATGTTTTAAGAATAATTATTCCCTAATTTCACTCGTCACCATTTGATTACACATACTAATTTACAATTCATGAAATATATTTAAGTTTGCTTTGACTTTCGTGACGAATTATAAACAAAGTAGTTTAATTGGCCAGTGGTTAAATTTGAGTTCTTATATTAATATAGTAATTAGATGAGTTCGACCATCAGTTCATTGGTCAAAACGTTCACACGGAACTGGGTAATATTTGGAATCGGAATCTTAACTTTATTGTAAAAATTATTCCTAATGAAAGAGTGTTTTGAACAATTAAAAAGAAAGTGAATTTCGTCTTCTATTTGACTGGATCCACAAAAAGGGCAATTCCTATTATCTCTGGTAATTTGATTGTATCTACCAAGTTCTATCATTAGTTCGTGCTTTAGTTTTACTAATTTCCTTCTCTCAGCTGTTCCTCTCGTTAAGTCTAGGTAATTAGAAGTGGTATGATCGCTTTTAAAAGATCTAAAAAATTCTAGTTTTTGAGAGTGGTGAAGGGTGTTTTGCCAATATGACATATAGAGCCTGTTTATTTTCACTAACGTTATGTAACTACGTGTTCATGTTTTTCAGGCAAGGCTCAATTATGTCACGTTATATTTTCGTTTTTCTTGCGATGATTCTGATCGTCTCCGAGATTGTGCCCGTGAAAAGGTATGTGAGATACAGATTGACTGCATTTTTCCTTTAGGCGTGTCAAACGTTTCCAAAACGAATTACTGAGTCCCTGTAACTTGTAGATTATCAGCGATCGACTGTTACTGGTTGAATTATTCGAAAAATTGCACAAAACAAAACGTTTAATGAATCGATCGGTTTTCACCACAAAAATTCATGTATCGATCAGTAATTTTACTCTGCCCGGCGTGAGCAGTTAGTTAAAAAGATTGCGTTTTGCTAAAGTTTGACATACTTTTTAGTAGATACGAAGAAATTTGTTCTTTCTACGTACTGGGGAACATCTCTCGCTGATTTTACATATAAGCTTAATAGAGGTTATCTAATTCTTTAATCATTGACTGATCGAAGTGTTTTGAATAGCCATCGTCGCATATATTCTTAGTGTTAGTGTTTACACTTTACTGCACATCCTTTAATCCGTCGCAAAAACCAGAATGGATGTTCCTTTTAATTTCTTCACACGTAAAGAGCAAATTTCAGCACAGGTTTCGGACAGGATTACACGCATAACCCGAAGAAATTGACTGTAGTGCTTATTATTATCTCCTGATTGCAAATGGACTATAAGCGTCCTTAAAAAGGTTTCAATCTTGTCACATCATATTTTTCAGTGCTGGTGACCTTGAGGATAAGAGTCAGACGAGCAAGCGTAATGCCATGTATCGCTACAGCAAACAAAATTTGAGGAAGTTTAATTCCAAGCGTAATGCCATGTATAGGTACAGCAAGCAAAATTTGAGGAAGTTTGATTCCATCTCCAAAGAAAACTAAAGAAATGCAGACTATGCAGCTAGCGTAATACGGGTGGCGGCCTTGGGCAAGACGCTGAGTGGCCAACAGCCTCAAGGAATTGTCTTTAAGGAAGATAGTAGTCATGGATAATGGGTGTTCGGGAACTCTTTGTAGTTGTGAATGAAAAGCTGCATAAAATTAAGGCAAAATAAAATGTAACAAGTAATCCTGAGCAAATTCAAGTTTATGTTTTTTTTTTTGTGGGGGGGGCGCGGTTTTTGTTGTTGTTGGTCTGCCTGTGGCACAGCCAAACATGTTGCGGTGGCAAGTCACTGCGTCCAAAAAAGACAAAATGGCGGACGTATAACCAGGAGCCGATTAAAGGCGTTGCGTGTCCCCTCCTCCTGACTTTTGAGGGGAGGGGGCAGGTCGTTTCAGATATGAACAAAAAAAAATGGGTACCATCAGTCTCACCACATATGAACTAGAAATACGTAAATCGCAGGACCCCGCGAAGGACTTGGGGGAACGGCAAGTAAAGCCGAGAAGAAAATTTGTCAATCAAAAATTGTGAGCTATATATAGAAACATAACAAAACTGTTATACCTAAAATGAAAACTAAACGAAAAGAAAAAGGAAAAAAAAAAAGAAAAGAAAAGAAAAGAAGTGAAGAGAAAAATGTACTGCCCAAATTCGAACTCGGGCCCTTCGGCGAACCGGGCGAAAGCTCTACCACTAGGCGATGTGGAACACACATGCTCTCACTTTCGTGGAATATTTATTATCAAAACCTTCGAGCCTTATTAGACATGAATTCAAAGATATTTTTCAGAAGAACAAGACGCCTATAGTCGTTTCCGTGGGATGCTTTGGTCCTTGCAAGTATAATGGCGTTCTATCTGAATTTGGAAAAATTAGGGAAACCGGAAAGATGTGTCATGTTATGAGCATCGATGAGTAGGTTACCTGTATGGGTTGGTTTAATTTGCTTATGACTGAATTTATAGTAGCTTGCGTGGCAGGCTACTATTTCTTCCCAATCCACATCCCCTTTTCGACATCTGCTACGCAAGCTAAATTTATAGTTGCCAGTGGTCGCAAGGATGGAGTTGATCTTGTTTTGATCTATCGCTATGTAGTTATTTTCTTAGCACGATTTGGATAAGAAAAAGAAGTTATTTTGCATCAAAACAAGGTTTAGCCGTGTAACTTAAATTGGAATGTTAACGGAAACAAGTAATGGAGAACATGCGCATAATGCTCTCTGATTAACCTGAACAGGAACTATATGTATAAAGATACGTCATATCTTGGTAGTAAGTTGCCACAGGTAACTTTTTCAAAGAGAAATAAACATTAGGGCCATTTATACGAAGAAAAATAAGACGCGTCTTACATAAGACGCGTCTTAAATAAGACGCGAACTGTACCATTTATACGAGCATGTCTTATCTAATAAGACGCGTCTTAGAAGCCGCGTCTTATTTTAGACGAAATGTGCCGTTTATACGGAAAGTTCGCGTCTTATTTAGGACGCGTCTTATGTAAGACGCGTCTTATTTTTCCTCGTATGAACGGCCCTATTGTAGTTTTAGGTTAATGGAACAAAACAAAACAAAAGAAAACATCCGCTTGCTTTATCCAGGGTCGAACCCGGGGTTACAAAGTTCGATAAAGTTCCAATGTTTTAATCCAAGATGAAAGTTTAATATTCCAAGATGCTCTTGATACGGTTAAAAATTAATTGCAATGTGTTTCCAAGGTCTCAAAGTTAACATAGTTCCAATGATTATCTCCGATCCCAAGGTATAATAAGTTTACTAAGGTCCTGATCCGTGTCCCATCCAGAAGTCCAATCCATGCCAAAAGCGAGTCTTTAGATTCTAGGACGGGTACGACTACGAGTACGAGATTTTCTCAATACTAAGTAGTGTACGCGTGTGAGCCAGCGTCATTTTGGCGGGAAAAAGTGGTAGCCGTCGTCATTCTGCTTCGAGTTTTCGCGCGAATGTCGTGGTGACGAAAACAAGACATCAAATGTTAGAAGTTTTATCATTTTGCGGTCGAGAGAGCGCGTAACCTCCTTCACTAAAGATAACAGTGTTAACTTTTCTAGTGAAAAATGGTAAAATGAAGCTTTCCGGGAAGTCTATATTTTGAGAAGACGCGAAAAACTTTCAAGTCAAATCTCGTACTCGTAGTCGTCCTCTTCCTCGAATCTAAAGGTCTCTTAAGAACCACGACGACGACTTTGTCGACGACGACCGGAAGTGAGATACCGTGCACTGCGCAAGCGCGGTTAACAAATTTCGTCGTCGTGGTGTCGTCGACGACGCCAAACACAGTAGAATCACGTCGTCCTGCAGTCCACAAGCTTCGGCAGGTATACCTCCCTGTTTTTAAGCGATTTTTCAAGGGCTTTGTATTTTTTCACCTCGTAAATCTAGGTATCCTTTCTTTTTTCTCCTAACAAGCGATGTTGATTGAAAATTTGACTGATGAATTGTGTTTACTTCGAAGACAACACTGAGCTGTGCAGGCCGAGCGAGCGAACTCGTAAGTGACAAATTCATTTGTACGTATTTAGGTCAGGCAAATCATATATCTTTAATACTTTATATGGAAAACAGCTATCGCATCGGAATGTCTCTTTTTCCAGATCTAAACTCTCACAGACACTCGGACTCGGTCATGTTATTCAGGTTGAAAGTTGAATAACATTCGTACGGAAAGCAGAGATTTTTCCATTCGAAAAGGTCAGACAACACTAAAAATTCTTCATCGTAAATGAAAGTAGACGTACGGCTTATAAAATAAGATCTTCCATCGTCTTAAAAGACGCCTTTGCGAAAACACTTTGTTGCGATCGAACATCACAGTTGTACTACTTCTACATGTTTGTTTACATTCAGTGTCGTCGTCGTCGTCGACCTACCGATCGACTGCATCTTAAGTTTCCTTTTTCCCGCTGAAACTGACGTTCTCGTTCCAGTCCTTTCCCAGTCAACAGACGTCGTCGTCGTGAACTTCGTCGTGGTTCTTAAGTTCCCTAATATTTTCGCGATTTCACCGTCAATCGTCAAGGGTACGAGTTGAAATTTACGCGATTTAACCTCCCATCGTCAAGGTGTTTTCGATAAAAAAAGAAAAAAACTGAACTCTAGCTGTGCTCGGCAAAAACTGGCGAACTCCGAATAGAAAGATCTATCGGAAATCGTGGCCCGCGACCAGACGCTACTAAAACCTTATGAAAAAGCTAGACCTAAACAAAAAAGAATCATGAAGGGAAGAAATAATTTGGCTTAGGTCGCCTTTAAATTCGTGACTTGCCGGTATCTCGAAGGATTTCGCTGGTTAACAAGCCATCCTAAACCACGAGTGGGAAAACTCAAGGGCGACAAATTTGGCAAGGAACGTTCTGATTTCGACTTTCTTCAGGGGAAGCAAATCGATTAAAAATGGATACAGATTTTGTACAATCTGATTGGTCGGCTTGAAAGAAGAGATAATCGATAAAGATTTTAGGCAATCCTATTGGCTGGCTTTGCAATTTTGGGTACAGCCGTTCGAACCGGATTTTTACCGTGGGAGTGCCACAGGCACAGGCACAGGCACAGGCACAGGCACAGGCATCCCACGGAATGACGGCCGTTTGAACAGTGAAAACCCAACGTAAGAGTTAGCCTGCGTAGCAAGCGTTTCCGTTAGGTTTCGGAGCAAAGAAGGACCGAGGAACAGGATCCTCGGTTTTGGCCGCGCGAGAAATGAAACAAGAGCCAAAAAATGAAAGTGGGGGGAGGGGGAGGGGAAGGAAGGAAACGCTCTCCACTATCTGAACGCTTGGAACAGGCTAGCAGACAAACCCCTCGATTTTGAAAACCTGCGTTCGCCAGCGAACGCAGCGCCTGATTGGCTCGGTTAGTCGAACAATGTTGACAAGTGTCGATCAAAGGTTTGTCTCATACTGAGAGGGCGGTATGGTACGTGACACGTATATTAATTTTAAGTGGTTGTTGTTTATTCTGGTCGGCAAGATTTGCCCTCCAATTCAAGAACATTTTCTTTGACCTCTTTTGAAACGTAAGGCTCTTGTTGCGACTAAATAAGGGTTTCAGGTCGTTTAATTTAATTTAATCTGAATAACTAAAAGCGATATTGTTTTGTTCTGGAATGCAATGGTGCAATGGTTTCCTGCAATGTGTCATGCTGGGCCCAGCTCGTTAGTGTTTTTTTGAGGGATGTTGAATACTCTCAGATGGTGATTTACAGACTGTTCTGTTAGGCGGATTAAAAAGACAAATGTCCAAAGCCTGTATTGATCGTTCGGATTCATTGATATTTCAACATAAACGCCGTCCACGTGTTATTGGGTTCACTTACGCGTCCTCTGAAGTTCATTTCCGCTCCACTGAAAGCCAAACATTTTATCGGTCTGATGCTGATGACAGCATCAAATGTCGAAGCGAACTCAGGCATGACAGGTTAAGTGGGTGGTTTTTAAAATCGCGGGGTTTGTCTGCAAGCGTTTCCTTTCTTTCTTCCCCAACCCTCCCCGCACTTTTAATTGCGCAATTTTTCGCGCGGTCTTTGACCCTCGTTCCTCGTTCCTTGCTCCGAAACAGCACGGAAACGCTTGCTACGCAGGCTACGTAAGAGTGGTTGTCAGAGAAAACCGGTCAAAATGTTAAAAATGTCAACGGAAGGGGGTCAACAGAATAAGCTAATACTAACATCATAGATAGGTTAATGGACAAATATAATAAACATAGGTTCTTCACTGCTCTTGTATTAGAGATACGAGCGTCACTTTATTTGACCCCCTCGGACGCCATTTTTGTAAGCAAATTTTGACCATTTTCTGAAGCTCACAAACTCCTCAAAATTAAACGAGCGAAGTTCATTTTTTGTATGCGATACAACACAACACAGGACTATCTTCGAAAACCATAAACATCTTTCTTATTTTACCTGACCTAAACTCAGT